AGCGCATAGTGCATAGCGCATAGCGCATAGCGCATAACGCATATCGCTTATCGCTTATCTAAAACTCGAAAGTCGAAACTCGAAACTCGAAAATCGCATATCGCGTTATACAAATAGCGCATAGCCCATAGCGCATAGCGCATAACGCATATCGCTTATCGAAAACTCGAAAGTCGAAAATCGCAAATCGCGTTATGCAAAAAGCGCATAGCGCATAGTGAATAGCGCATAGCGCATAGTGCATAGCGCATAGCGCATAGCGCATAACGCATATCGCTTATCGCTTATCTAAAACTCGTAAGTCGAAACTCGAAACTCGAATCTCGAAAATCGCATATCGCGTTATACAAATAGCGCATAGCCCATAGCGCATAGCGCCTAGCGCATAGTGCCTATCGCATAGCGCATAACGCATATCGCTTATCAAAAACTCGAAAGTCGAAACTCGAAAATCGCATATCGCGTTATACAAACAGCGCATAGCGCATAGTGCATAGCGCATAGCACATAGCGCATAACGCATATCGCTTATCGAAAACTCGAAAATCGCATATCGCATATCGCGTTATGTAAATAGCGTATAGCTCAAAGCGCGCTATGCGCTATACACTATACGCTATACGCTATGCACTATGTGCATAATTAAATGTACGAATCGTTATAATTTGATAGAAGACAACATCGCGTGTCCATACCTACTTTTAATTCATTTTGATTACTGTTAGATTTCGATTGTAATGAACATAATAGGAATTATTTGTTAAAGAGGAAAAAAAACTACTCTTTTTAGATCGTAAAAGAATACTTTATTAAAAAAAAAAGTGTTCATTATATTAAACATGATTTATCCGTTGACATAGCGAGCATAGCCGCTATTGGCCGTGTGATGCGCGTGCGGCGTGTGCGGCGTGTGCGGCGTGTGCGGCGTGTGCGGCGTGTGCGGCGTGTGCTTGTCGAGGGTCACGTATTCATATGATCCATTATAATCGCGTTCCATTTCTTTTTTCAATATTGTTCTATCACGTTTAGGAACGGGCGTAGAATACATCAGGTCGACCTCTGTCTGTTGGAAAGGCTCGATGTAATCTGCGAGCGGTGGAGAGTCGCCGCACACGTGGTCTTTTGGCGTGACATACACGGTCGCCTCCGTCTCTCCCCTGCTCAGCTGAAACTGTATTTTAAACATTGAATAAATAAATTATCTTCTGTGACATCTTTAGAAGCCGACAAATTTAAATTGCCGGCCATCTCATGGATATCGTCTTTCACCCAGCGAATCGGTGAAATGTAAAATAGATATGTAAACTACTCTAAAACATGGATATCTATTGGAGAGATTATTTGACAGAAAATTAGTAAAACCTTCTTATATATATATATATGTATATTCACAAGGGTCATCATATGGCAGTTGGCAGTTTTGTGAACTAACATTATCAGTTGAATGTCAGGCTAACAAAGTCATGTTTTGACATAATTTGTCAGTTCACTTCGTATCATTTTTGTATTCAAAAGGAAAGAATTATATAGACACAAAGTACCGCAGTTGATAACCTATCTATTTATAGAGGTCGGTGGCTACAATACAACTGACAGTTTTTAGACTTTGACAGTGTGGCGGTAGTGAGCTTATAACAATTAGTTTTTTACTCAAAATTTTAGTCTCGTTTTATATACTTTCAATTATGTTCAACGTTGACGTTGGCGAAATCATCGAAATAACGATGGGGTCCACTAAACATTAAAAGAAGAAGAAGAACAATTAGTTTGACTTCTGCCGACCCGATCAAACATTCTATACTTCGAAATACTAAAATGCTTATAATTCAAATTAATTTTAGTAACAATCAGAGATTACAGTTACATTGATAAATATGTAGTTTTGTTGTGTTTAGAAATTTATAAATACCTGTAAGAGTCGCTTGTTCGAACTCCGTTTACAAAGGCGTTTGGCAAGAAGAAGCACGACAACCACCCCGACCAGTAGCGCGGCTGCGCTCACATACAACACCATGTGCCAGGTCGGGACTGCGTGCTTGCCCCCGTCGGCGGCTGACTCTGGCACTCAACAAAATACTACCTAATTATATATACCACCAAGAACACTCCATTTATCAAGGCAGATTTACGAGGGGAAGGTTGGGGACATGAGTCATCGAGACGGTGCAGAGCGGTCTGTCGTGTCATCCCATGTCACATCACGGCGGCAGGAAACGTTCGTAGTAGATGCGGTAAAAAAAATAGAGAGATAACAAGCATCTTGGCGTCACGTCCAAACTAACTCCCAGGGCTACCCTCTTGATTGCCTTTGACCATCGGTGCGTGAGGTGAGCTGGTGCTCCTCAAGGTACATACCTTATAGGCTGACAAATACAGTGTAAATAAAAAATGAAATGGACGTTCTTCTGGGTCGCTAGCTTTTATTTGTAAGAGTCTACCATCTTACCGCCCTTAGCCACGTTGGAAGCCGGGGTCGGCGTCGTCGGGGTCTGCGTGTCTCTAACCAATGTGACATACGACGTGAGGTTGGTGGTGCCGTCGCCAGCGGGCAGTTCTCGGGCATTGCACTGCACCGTCATATTGCGCCCAACGAGATTCACTGTCAACGGCTCTGCTCTCGAAACACGCTTCTTTAGCCCATCTGAAATGCAACTGCTATTACGCCTAAGATAGTTAAAAATTAAGCTTTTTATACTACTTTGAAAAATCTAATTTTCATATTTTTTGTAATGTAATGTGGCAACATGAGAATAAATTAAATAAGTAAATTAAGTAGATTACATTTTTGTGGACGTTTCTCGCACAATAAACGGTTATTGTGTAGGTCGAAGGTGCAAGCACTACCTTTCGGATAAAAAAGAATTATCAAAATCGGTCCACTAGCGGCGGAGTTATGTCGTTACACACACAAAATAAAATTAAAAAAAAACGTACAGATGAATTGAGTAGCGCCTTCTTTTGGGAAGTCGGTCAAAAAAATAATTACAGCTTCTCGTTAAAGAAAGAAATTTTATTGTAAGTAAATTGTCAATACATATTTTTTTATTTCCTTCTCGTAAGTGTTATTCCTAAAATGAGATACCGGCACGAAAGCTAAATTATTAGGCTTGTTCGAGAAACAAAAGACAGCTGGATACACATAACTTCAATTTTTAGTCAGAAATCTGATTTTTACGATTTTTATACCAAAATTAAATAACTTTTAAAACTATACAAACTCGCGCAAATTTCTTTTGCGTTTAAAAGATAGATGCTGAGGTCCTCTAACTCCACAAAGCTGTTGGTCCGTCCGTTAAGCGTCAGCCTGTATAATATGTATCGTCGTCAATACCGTGGTCATGGGATTATAGCTCGGAACTCGTACAGAGTGGACGCCGTCAGGATCACGGCAGTTTGCGAGAGAGTTCCCGCGCCCGCGTTTCTGACGTATGCCAGGCAGAACTCATCGTGGGGTTTTAGTCGGTGCAAGCCCAACATAACCACCCAAGAGTGGCATGCGTAGGCATTTCCCCACGTTAAAAAAAATTGTAGATCTTTAGTAAACGTTTGGTTTATGAAAGACTAATATTGTGAAAACTTGTTAATTACGCATATAAAAAAAACTAACAAGATTTCATTGTAAATATACTCCGCCTCCGCCTTAATTTTCATCAATAAACGACACACATCACACCTATCATCCAAAACATATCGAACTTGGTCTGGTTGTTGAGGAGGCGGCATGTCAGCTCGACGCTCTGCTCGTTCAATGTTTTGTTGTTATATAATTGTCCTTTTTGGCCTGTTATTTGCAGTTCTGAAATACATGAAATTTATTGTTTTTATACCAATTTAATTTAATATGGCAAAATAGCAAGCGGCTATCTAATACTATGTACAATACAGTAGTACCTAAATAAGGAAGTGACCGGCGCTCAGAGCCATCCGCTACCAACTTGCTGCTAGTTTAGGTATTGCAAAGGAGTAATAATTGAGAAGAATACAGAAAATTAAATATAGTTATCTTTGCCTATCCCTTCGCGCCCCCGTCAGTACAAGTACCTTTCTTTTCCTTTGCCTTTAAAAAAACGGTAAAAGGGGATAAGGACTAGACTCGGTCTCTTGCACCACAATAGACGAAAAGCAGAAATAATTGTATAACAAAGTATTCATTGGAAATAACATCGTTTCCTTTTTTAATAATTAAACAACTGTGCAGTTTCTTGCATATTTCTTAGGGTACCGTTCACTTTATAAGTACGAGTACCTACATACATGACTACATGATTTGATTATCGGGTATTACAGCTCTTGCTTATTCACCTACGCATATTATTATACTCCCAGCGGAGTTTTGCAAATTTGTTTGAAAGAAATATCAGTTCAAAGATAGAATATTTGAATCATCCTTACCCAGCTGTCGCGCGCTCGACTCATCTGAAAGACATATTTATTCATTTATTTATTCCAAATATATTAAATGCAACATTATCTTTTACTACTATGATAAAATGGTTAGCTAATAAATAAAGTAAAAAAAAACTGATCTAAAATTCATCATCATCATCATCACCAGCTCACTATATGTCCCCACCAAGGGGCTAGGAGCCTACTCTAAGTTAGGGTGACTAGGCCATAGTCAACCACGCTGGCCAAGTGCGGGTTGGTCGACTTCACACGTAACTTTGAATTTCTTCGCCGATATGAGCAGGTTGCATCACGATGTTTTCCTTCACCGTAAGAACGACGGGAAAATTATGTACATATGATAATTCGAAAAATCGAATATCACATTGGTACATGGCGGGATTCGAACCCAAGACCTGTAGATTACAAGTCAAGTGCTTAAACCACTGAGCCAGCGACGCTCATCGATCTAAAATTGCGGTCATTTATTTCTGATCTGTCAGATATCTTCTAGAATATCGGTCAGAATTATATACTATGAAAGGCATTTTTAATTTACATATAATATTCTAACCTAAAACATATTTATTAAGGTAATGATTCATACCAAATACGAATAAAAGCGTCGTAAATTAAGCCTTATTATTGCATTTGCATGGTTTATTCTCCCGAAATAGTTATTGTACTTAAGGTAGTCCTTAAGAGATAGATTATATGCTATAGACCTTTATTTAGCATGTTTAAAGAACTAGCATACATTTTCCCGATTTGAAATGGGATCAAAAGTCACACACCATATGTCCTGTTAAAAATTTGGAAATCAGTCGACGAGATATAGGGTAACAAAAATAATAATTAAATACAGAGGAATTGAGAAGCAACTCCTTTTGGATGTCGGGTAAATACAATATCTTGATGAATATTGAAGAATTGAAAGCAGCAAATAACTTACATAAATTGTTTAGCAAATACATCAGGAAAACTGCAATTAAATTATGATACATTGTAGCACACTACCCGTTCGTGCGCCAGTTGGGAACCGTGTGTTCTGAGTTCTGCCTTGTGTGTGTGTGTGTGTGTCACGCGACCAACGCACGCCCCGCGCCCCCTTCATCCAGCACCAGCGTCCGAGTAGTAAGTGACATCGCCTTCCCCCATCTACGGCGAAGTCGCTAAAACATCTGTCTGCAAAAGTTGTAAGGTTGTGTTGTGTTGCTTTTAAAAGTCACTAAAGGATGAATAGATAAGAATATTTTTCTTTCTTATCCATCTTCCCCGCCAAATGCACTAGCCGTCGTTTCATTGTTAAGTATTTAACGACAGCAAACACTTTAAAATCGGTATAAAGCCGCAAGTCGCAAGCGATATTATAAAAATAAATTAGCGATATATGTAACAAAATACGATAGGAAAACTAATTTATTAATGTTATGTTCCTTCTTATTCATTATTATTACCGCAGTTGATGTTAACACATTAAAACATAATTTACAGGAAAATTCACAGTGAAAAGTGACATCAACACTGCTTACTAAAGTATTCTACGGTTTAGGACCAAACTGTTCATTATCGCATGTGAGTATGCCAAAATGTTGATAGCACATCGCACATCGCACATCGCTCATGGTCGCACTCGCATATTACTGCCAAGTTACCGTAGGACAGGCTAGCGAGTGCAAAGTACCACAGGGTGACAGCCTTCCCAGGTACTAACTATACGATTATTTAAGGACAATAAGACGAATTATAATTAAAACCTAACGGATAACTAAAAGTCTAACATCTCCTGAGATCTTAGGCTACATGTTACTTGTGTTTTGTGTAGAGCGTAGAGCGTAGAGCGCAGACAACGAGACCAACCACCGCATGTACATTTCTACTTTCGACAAGAAAAAGGAACAATGATCTTTGTCAACGACACGCTACCAATCTAAACCGTATCTCCGTAAACTTGGCCCCCACATCACATTGCTTTTTTTTAACTTTTTTCAAGTAAATCGCTAGAGAATCATTTGAGGGTGATTGAGAGAAAAGAAATATCGTTTGAGAGTTTTTACTTTTTCTGTAAAAAACGTATACTGTCGAAAATGGCCCGAGCTTTGTTGTCCCATAAGTAAATAAATACTAATATAATATAGAGGTAAGATTTACCACCAATAGAAAGGTAATGTATCTGTGATTTGACATTTTTTATTAATGACATTTGACATTAATAAAAAGCTTATTACTGTCGTTAAAATACTCACTCACTCACTCACTCACTCAATCACTAAATTTTAACTTTTCTCGGCTGCAGTAAACCGTTAGAGATATATAAAAATGACGTACGACGGAATTATAGACCTTAAAAAGTTCTACAGAGAGGACATACATATCTCACTTTAACGGTTTTCTTACAATAATCACGTTTAAAAAATGAATTTGAGGCGCATGCTTTTTGTATTGTTGTCTTATTTGTTTCAATATTAATCCATAAGCAAAAAAATGCGTTTATGCAGGAGAATTTAAAGTAGAATAAAATTGTCCTTTACAGTATTTAAATTGGACAAACAGTTTAAAAGATATCGTTAACAAAAACAATACGGGTAATTGAAAAATAAAACCACAAACTACCGGGCTTAGGGTTTTTGAATCTTGCATCGGTAGATTTCTGTTATTAGGTAGATTACTACTACTAAGTTATTACTTTTGGTAATAGGTTGAAAAAAGGGGCGAATGTAAGATTTTGAACATTCAAATTTCACGCGGACGAAGTCGCGGGCAACAGCTGTACTAAATATAATTTATTTAGTAAATAAAGCTGGATTAAATGTTAATGTACAGAACCACCTCCCATACAAAAAGTTGACAAATCGGATTTTGATGTTTAAGATTTTTTTTTTCATAAAAACACTAAATAACTATAAAACCATAGAAAATCGGACAACATACTTTGCGCCTAAACGGTAGGTATTGAGGTCTAACTCCACAAAGCCATTGATACATCCTTATACGCTATAATTAATACTTCTATACTTAATATAATAAAGAGTAAACACACACTTATTTGTAGCCTAAGATTTCAGCAATCACAGCATATTTTCGTATAACTCTTTTTTTTAATAAAAAGCCCTACACTTACGTCACTCTTTAGGCTATATATTTTCACGCCGTTAAACTTAGAGGTAAATATTTTAGATAAAATCCCTAATGTGGGAAAGAGACCATAAGTTGCTGTCAACATCAAGGTAGCAAGGTTGCCATGGTTTGACAACATGTCATGTCATTTTGACGTTTGCAATTGATAATTTGAGAAGTGTGAACAATAAAATGTAATTTTTATAATTTTATGCAGATGAAGTCACATGGGAACAGCTAGTTATAAACTGGGAAGATTTGTATATTTGCGTGATTTGAAATAACCCAACTTAAACTCAAAAACTACTAGACCGATATTAAAACTTCTTTCATCGTTGTATTAGAAAGATACTTTATCGCTGAGTAACTGAGTAATATTTAACATAGGCTGTTTTGTTTCCTACGAAACTTGGGTTCCGTTCCGAGTTTGAACCACACGACACAACTTGATCAACGAATCGTTTGCAACGATCAAAATTAAAGTATTGTAAGTAGTAAGTCACAATAAACAGTCCGTCTACCCTCTATATTTGAAAGGAAGTTATTTATTTGTGTCGAAATATCTAACATTAGGAAAAATATTCTTTGTGATTCTAATTATCTTTATCTTATTTTCATAAAAACGCAACGCTAATAATAAGCTAATGAGCAAACGACTTCTACAAAACGCAACGACAACCATATCCATAACAAAAGCAAGGAACAACTGGGAATTGAACATCCACATCCACCAAGCATAGCGGGAGAGTAGATCTATGGCGAGACGTTCGTAACATCGCGATTCAATTCAAGACGATCTCGCCACTGCGCCATCTATTAGGGCGGAGCAAAAACGACGCCAACATAGGCTACATTTTTAACATAATTTAAATAGGTAAAGTTGATAAGTTTTTTCTTTTTTAAAGTAGTGTTACGGCCCACTGATGCGTTTTCATTTTTCTTTATATAACCACGACTTTTTTCATGTACTCTGATGTACATGGTACGATAATAATTATCATTGGCAACACTGCTGAGTGCCAACATCATGAGTCCTTGACTAACTCTATTTTACATACTCTTTGACTGACCCGCCGACAGATTAAAGCATCGAAACGCGTGCAATTTCACAATCTTTTTGTTTGTTTCCTTGTTAATAGAAAAGAACGCAGAGTAGATTATAATGAGTAATTTTGCCGCTGTGATACACTACAAAGAAAGCAATTTATAAAACAAAATATTACAGTGTATTGTGAGACAGTAAAATAATGAATTTGACATCGCTGCAGCCTTTCTCTAAGAATTGTCGTAAACCTTGTGGGATCGATTTTTAGGTGTTTATTAATGAAATTAGTAGAGTGTATGTGAGTGATATAGTTCAATCGTATAATTTCTTTCTTCATGTTTTTTCATAGTGGCCGCAAATACAATCAATAGAGATAACAAAAAATGCATATTCTCCATGCGTTTGTAAATGTTCCGTTCGGTAATACTAATATTATGTTATAATCTTAACTGGAGCTGAATCATCTGTATATTCCACTTAACATTAAAGTGATAAATCTTAATACAACAGTGACGTGATGAGTGATTATTTTATTATAATGTTTGGGTTCCACTGAAGTGCTGTCTGTATTCGTATAAGGTTAGTGATCATTGAAAAATTTTAATGTTCTTTTCATTAATAAGGAACAGTAGTGTATTATTTATTCAATGTTATTTATTCGACATGAATGTAAAACGACTATATTATGTGTAAAAGCTTAACGTTTTAGAAGAGAATAGAATAGAATAGAATAGAATAGAAAACACGTCACTGGCTGACAATGTTTGATTAGTGCTACTATGATGTGCAATGCAATACACTACAACTTCTATTTAATGTGTCACTATTTTATTTGTTTTTTATGGTGTAACATTGGGTCCAGTATGTAGGTAAATAGTAATTTGGTACTTGCATGGCCTAATAAGAGAAAATTTAACGAAAACGAAAAATAAAAATAAAGGTTTACTTGCAAACAAAGAAGTATTATTTTAAGAGGTGAGATTAACAAAAAAGTGCTTATTTGTACATTGATTAAGTAGTGCAAACAAGTCTTGTAAGAATCACAAACATTTAGTTACACTATTGTATGACCGAGGTAACCAGCTATATTGCAAGTATTTTGCTTTATGTGTATCCAACTGCATAATGTAGTTGTTTTTTATTGTGTTATGTGTGTTCATATGTAAATAAGTTCCTTTGTGAGGGCCTAGAGCCTCAATTATTGACCCAATTTTAATGAGTGTATCTTCTTCCCCGGAATGTCATAGGTAGTAACATTACATAAGCACAAAACACATGTAGGGTTCTGAAAAGATCACAGACATCAATTTGGCACAGTCATACAGGATACATACATCTATACATAAATACTTTGGTTTTGGGTGGTGTTAGTACAGCCAGTCTGAAGTATTTCATGAAGTATTCATAAATCTGTATGGTGTGAGACAGACTGTGTGTTACAACTGGCCTCGACTAACATTTGCATCGATTAAATAAATTCTCAATTTTTTACAGAAATGTGTGAATTAAAGCAAAGTTAACTAAGCCTGTCTATGTAGAAGTAGATGCATGATATGCATTCTTAGGTACTTCTAGCAATCATACAATCTTGAAATTTCGGACATAGAAGTCAATGTGTAGGTAGAGGGAAAAATCCAGTGTTGACATATCAGTTGCAGTTAAAGCTTGAACTTTGTTATATTAGTAATATCTGAGAAATATGTTGTATTCCTTTGTATTGTAAAAAGCAACTAAAACAGACATACTACATCCAGGAAAAATAAATTGAAATAAATGTAGATTAATTTTGAAATTGCCAGTTAATATTGATATATTTAATTGTTTGCAGGCACCGGAGCCACATCGCGAATGAGTTGGCGGCGCACCACACCAACACGACTTCCGAGGACTTTGAGTGTACGCCAAGTGACCTCTATAAATCCAATAGTATGTGATAGAGTGGGGGCGGGCGCGTAGAGAGCACGGGGCGGGCGGCACCATGTCTGCGGCGCTGCTGCGGCTGCTGCTACTGGCGCTGGCCGTGTGCTCCTCCTACGGTAAGCACATCACGCCTTACATCAACATCTCAGTATGGCTACGTTACACACTAATTGGTCAAAATTGTAAACCGATGTACCTATTGTATGCAGACTCAGCCACTGCTATCGGGCCCGACTTTCGAGTATCGCTAATCCTCGGTTGCCACGGCTTTAGTAGTAAAAGGGTTCACGATATAACATTGTTTGAATCCAGTATGTGTGCGTGCGTGCGTCGAGAGGATATGCTTAAGGGAGTGGATTCGGATATGACGGCTGAGAGAAATGTATGGAAGTGCAGCACCTACTGTACCGACCGTCCTTAGGGGGATAAGGGCAAGTTGGTGATGATTCGAAAGCGATGACGGCCAAATTGGCCCGTACGTGCTGAGGCTCGGTGGAGCCATGGGTGGTGTTAAGACAAGGTAGGATAACGTAGAGCTGGTAGCTATGCCATTGAATTATGTAATGTACTAGGAATGTGGAGTGTATTTCGTAAGCGGGTGAAATAAATGACGACACGTATATTCTATGCTCTCTATACAATACGATTCATTAGAAATTTAAAACGGTGCAGGCGACGGCCGCGTCTCTAACGGCTGAAACGTGCCTCCTCGCTACATTTCAAATATAGATCGCTCAAATGGCGGGTGTTTTTCACAAATCCTCGCCTCATCCAGCGGCTCGCGGTGCGTCCGCCATCTGTCAGGCGACCCGACACCTGACGTTTGGAACTTTTTAAAAATAAACCCGTTCACTAATAGTGAGCCTGACTATGGGACTATAAGGTAACATAGTTTATTTTTCTTTTTCAAGTTTTATTCTACTTTAGATAGGAACCACGTGATAGTGGAATGAACAATTTATTGATTGATTGAAAATTGAAATTATACATGTAAGACAAAATGTAAAAGTTTAATTTGATAATAGATGTCGAACCAGCGACAGTCCAACCTAGCGTATTCTATAAAAGCTGAAAGTTTTACTATGCACTTCCCTTAAAACGGTAAGAACGACTTGTGTCTGTAGAGTTTGGGTTGTGGTTACTTTGCCAGGTAGTAGGTATTAAAGTATTATTTTATACAACTTTAATATCGATTACTGTCAAAGTAACCACAACCCAAACTCCGTAGCAGCAGGTCATGTTTACTTGTATAAGGCAAGTGCATAGTAAAACTTTCAGCTTTTATAAAATAAGGAAGGTCTGGCTGTTGCTAGCTCTTGGGATATAACTCTTAAAGGTGTCCCCTTGGCGATTGCGCGAAGTTTTAATTTAAATAACTGGAGGTATTTAATGACGTTTAAGCCGTAATTTAACGGTGAGATTGTTTTGTTCTACCGGGCATCAGCTGTGGGATAACCTCACACTAGGACCCCAGCCCCACGGGACGGGAGTCCCTCTATCTATTTCCCTATATTTAGGAGATTGCCCCACTTGCTTTACGTCGCTGTATTGTTTGTATTGTTGTATCGTTCATCGCGATAAGGACCGCGCAAAGGACGCGGTGGG